ATTTATGACCCGATTTATTGTTTACAGTCATGGGGTAGCTTCTAGGCCGACACTTTTGTCACATGAAAAACTAGTATTTGTTGTAAATCTAAGAATCACAAATTCAATTGGCAGACTTATAATAATTTTCAAGAAAACTGTTCTGTCGCGTCATTTCATCGTATTTGAATCACACCTGTAATAACTTCATTGGAGCATTTCTCTTAAAAAAATTAATGATTGTTCTATTATAGATCTTATAAAATGTGCATTGCAGGTGCAATAATAAAATTGCAAGTGATTTCAAAACCCCTGACTAAACGTGTTCGTTTCAGAAATCTTTATTTGGACGATTATTAGGAAATATATGTTATATATTATTGATAGTGTTATTTTTGTTGTAAAAGGTATCGTACTTCTGATTTATTTTCTAACGGACTAAGCGTCGCTCATTAGTAAAAATACCATAGGCTGAGCAGAAGCCTAATTTAGGACGATGCGGTCCAGATGCAGTGTTCCGCGCTAGGAATTGTGTCAGAGGGTGGCCTTGTCGATGGTGTAGCCACGTGCGTGCTGACTTGCGCAGATCCATCGGAGCTTCAATGTCAACTGCGAGGGAAAATTACAGCAGCAATACGCATGCCGTGGCGGTGCCAGCTGTCTGGATCTGGCGTTGCGTCATTCTGGCAGCGGCATGAATGGAGAATGCTCCTCAATGGAGGAGGCTGTGGGCGGCGGTGATGCTGCTAGAGTAGGCTCTTTGTTTTACTGAAAACTGTCCGCTTACAAAGTACACATTTCCTCTCGTCAACCAGATTCGTGTTTATTTTGTGACATTACGGTCAGTTAATCTCCAGTGCGTAGAGTAACCAAAGATAAACTATTATTTTTATAATCTACTCTTCGAGGAGTGATTAATTTATGAATTCTTTATAGTTTTGAAACTTTTATTTTTTTCATTGAGTGGTTTTACACTCTTTAGGAGATTTGGTGCAACAGCAATTGATTTAGTTACATATTTCTACCACAAATTTGCATGTCTTGCACAGAATACAATGGAATAAAGCAATAATTGTTGCATTGCTTGCAATCCTCGTTTATGTTCTTTTCTTGGATTTCCGATTTATTGTTTCATGGGCAGTTTGCAGGCAATGTGGTTGGTGTAAATTTTATTGCAATTAATCATATTCATATAAAATGCTAAATTTGGTAACAGGGAATGTTCATTTAATATTGAACAATATATAATGTGGATTAGAAACTAAAGAGACTCGATGGAATTAGAGGACCATTAAGCATCACACACACACACACACACAAACACACATTTTAAATTTCACTCTTTCGAAACAGATCTTCCTATCCATTGTACTTAATTAGACTCGCCACGGTATTAGTTTCATCTTCATAATTTTTTTATCAATGAATATGTACTTTAATTAAACTGCAGAATGATCTAACAACTCCGTTCCCATCAGTTCAAAACACCAAATACGTCAATAAGCGAAAGAATATTCTGGAAAATACGAACGAGAGTTCGAAGGTTTACAGTGAGTGAGGAGTGATGAAACAAATTGTCGTAGACCCGATCTTGATAACATTTTTCTACTAGTTTCATTTGCAGGATTTACTCGCCTTGTTCTCGGTAACTTACAGCGAACGCTCCTCGAATAGCAGAAGTTCGCGTAATGTCGCCTGCAGAGAGGAAAGAATAAGGGAAAATGAGCGTGGTAAAGAAGAGGTAATGGTCCTACCAAAGCCTTGAATCCAACTCGTTTGGCAGGTCTGCCGTAGGTAGCCGCTGAAGGTGGCGCCTGGGAACAGTGCCTTGCGCTGGCGGCCCGCCGATTCGCATACCTACACGATGGACACTGCACGACTTACGCTTGCTCAGTCAATACATAGCACCTCGTGAAGGACATGTATTTTACTCTGCAGTCCCGAAAGCATTAGATGCGTATTAAACACAAATATTAGGACTCAAACACAAGGGGTTTTTTCTAACCCCTTTGTATCTTAATGAAATATGAAGTAATGTACTATTTTGTAAGTGATGTACCAAATTTGTTTTCAATACATTTGCAAAAACACATGCGCTCTGCACTTTTGTTTTCATTAATTTAATTTTCAGTCCCAAGATAAGGTTTTCATTTTCCATATCATGGAAATGATTTTACGTGGGGTATTTGTACTATTTTCATCGAACTTCTGTTATCTTATCGCATCCATATCGTTTTATTATTATTTGCTCTGCATGAATCAGTAATAGCACTGTAATATCACCTTGGTTGTGCCACCTGTAAATGGCTTAGTGCAATTATAGAAATGAATTTGAAGAGCGGGTGAGTGTTCATTTTAACTAAGAAATACTCGTAATATGCTCTTTGAGTTTCTCAGAGCGACAGAGTATTTCAATGCAAAAATAACTTGTAACTAAAATTTTGAAACTTTTATTCCGGTTCAGTACTAATAACGAAACCTTATTGTCACTTCTATGTTTTCATACCTAAAAATAATGATATATTTCTATGTCTAAAAAAGTTGTTTCAGATTCTTCTTTTAAATTTATATTTAATTCTCCTGCATTATAAAAGTATCGCATTTCTGTTGTACAATATGCACAATTTTAATGCGTGGATGTAAATGATAAGCATTTTTTTCCTTTAAAAAACTAATTCTTTGGAACTGAAAACGCCAAGGATTTGAGACAAACGGCATACTACTAAACTGAATCATTGGAAGGATAATGAAGACTACGCACCATTTGACCTTCATTGTGACTGTACCTATATTTCTTTAAGTTACTATTCAATTAAATAATACATTTTTATATTTAATTATATACGTATGCAAATATTAAATATATAGTAGAGAAGTTGAGCCAATGTCTTCTACACTATAATAGGATGTAAAATTATAAGTGACTTCTATGGTTAAATCCTTTGTCATCATTTGGTATTCAACGAACTGTTTATACGGAACTTCAAGTATTGAGCGTTGCATTGAATGGTTTCAACGTAAAATGAAAAAAGGATGTATAAGAATTTTGAGCAATACATTGTTCCAATGTTCATTACTTCCTAAGGGATGTCTAATGTAGGTCTTCCGAAAATCACGTACCTTTTAAATTTGCTGTTCTGACGTGAAACACGCAAATGTCTTAAATCGGCTGCCACACGTTACCACGCGAGGCAACCCCAAAAGCAATTAAATTCCTGGCGTCCGCCGCGGAGAGCTGAGGACCTCTCGCCCCTCCCAGCACGCCCTGCTCAAGCACTGCTGCGCTGCGCGGCGCGGCGCCATCAAATGTTTGACGCCAGCGCCGCGGGGACGTGCTTCCAGGCACGCGCGGCCAGGAGCGCTGCCTCGCTTGTGCCCCCGCCACAGCACCGCCACCGGAAGCCCACGCCGCTTAAGGGAGACGCGCGTCAACGACGGCCTGCGCCCCGCACTTTTAGCTCCACGCCCCGCTCCGCTTCGTGCCCCACTCCACGCCTTGCCCCACCTCGCTCCATACCCCACTCAACACTCCGCTTCGCGTCTCGCTTTGCGCCCTGCTCCGCGATACCCGCCCCGCGATACACGCTCCGCGATACACGCTCCGCGATACACGCTCCGCGATACACGCTCCGCGATACACGCTCCGCGATACACGCTCCGTACATCCCTTCTCCTCCCTGCATTCCAGCGGGGAAGGAAGCCGTTGATTGGAGGGGAATTCTAGCGCCTGGGTGCTCCGATTGGTAGTTTTCAGAGGGTTTTCAATCCATACCAGGATTATGCCGGGGAAGTATTGTAGCAAACGAGATGCGGACATCATGCAATGATTATTTCTTCATCCACGCCCCTTCCTCTCACCTCACACATTCATACTTACAAGGCACTACACTACCAAACACGCCCGGAGCTTTTCTCAAATCGGGTAGTGCCCCGCTGGCTGAGATACCTGAGTGGGATAACCCTGCAAACTGGCGTGTATGTCGGTGTTGGATCTCAATTTCTAGCGAGAAAGGAACACCTCCACTTCCTGGGATAAAACATTCGCTACGCTCACGGCAATAATGACTGAGTAGTTGACGCGCCCGAAAATATCAACACTCATTCTCTGACTTCTTTGCGCACCCATGCTGCTTTTCACCTCACCGATTTCTTGTCCCTCGAGCAGTAGATGGGAGGGTTGCGTTAAAATTACTCCAGTAGGATAAAAGACCAAAAAAGGCTGCATGTAAGGACTCGCTTTACTCTTCGTGTTCAGTTGCTGTTATAAATGCCATTAAGTGAAAGTGTGTCTTAAAGAAATCGTTATATTTTAGTTTTTCTCACCAGTATAATTATTTTCCTTGTGCTTTTAAGCATAATCTCTTAGAGCGAACTCATAAAATGTATTTGGTTCAGGTAATTTAAAATTGGATCTCATAACTAATTTTAAAATATGTTTTTTTTAAATATTGATTTCTGATGTACAAGTGTATTTGCAACGGGAATACTCATCTGAAGGTGCAATGAATATGTGGTAATTGTTGTTAATAAATCGAATAAAATTGGACCTGATGGACAAGCAACGTTAAACCGTCAATGTGAACACTTGAGTTGACAAAATCAATATTTCAGCGATATTTTAAGATAATGTTTATCCCAAGAAATGAACTTGTCATCTTTGTATGCATTTTTTCCTGCCCACCAGCATCATTTTGAAGTATCATTTTGTTTTTAATAATTAGCTTTAAATTTAATATGGATAATGCAGATATTGATTTGGATGTGTTGCGATCAATTTGCGGTATTTATTATGAATAAATCGAGTAAAATTTGGCGTGATGGAACGAGAACACGCCAATGTGAGCACTCGAGTTAACGAAACCAACATTTACGCGATAATTTAATTTACTTTTATTTAAAAATTGACTTTTCCCCTGTGTGTGCAACTGAGAAAATCTGTGATTTTCGTGCAGTGCACATTATTGTGAGGCGTGCCGCAGGGTCCGCTCATCGGGCGCGCGCCCGCTCCTCTGCTTGCGCAGGCATCATCGGCGTGTGCTGGCTGGCCGGGTCGCTGGTGGGCTTCCTGCCGCTCTTCGGCTGGCACGAGCCCTCGCACGGCGCGTGCCTCTTCACCAAAGTCATGGACTACAACTACCTCGTGTTCCTCTACTTCGCCACCATCGTGGTCCCCGCTCTGCTGCTGGCGTGCTTCTACGTGCACATCTACCGCGTCGTGCTGAAGCAGGTGAGCCCGCCGGCCGGCTGGCGTGGGCTGCGCTCTCTGCTTGCAGGTTTGCCGGAGCTTGCGAGCGCTTGCGCACGCTGTGCCCGCGGCGAAGGCTGCCGTGGGCTCTGGCTGGGTCTTTGTGATTGATTGCTGTGGGTGGGATGTGATGAAGGTTTATTTGGCATTACGAGTAGATCCAGAGAGACGTTTGAGGACTCAAAAAATGATATCGGAAACGTTTTCTAGTCAATATTGATGAATGACAGTATCAACCGATCGAAATATTAGACAATATTGAATGAACGTAAACAAAAATAATCTAAGCATTTTTGCATTTGCTTATTGGAAATTATATCGATTAAAAATGTTATTTTATATACTTCTCTCTTGGATGCGCTCATGATGCATGCTTTGGAGGTTAGAATTCTCCGTGGTTCATGTGTTTGCTGTAATCATGGAGATCTTAGCCATGCATGTCGGAAGTTGGAGAAACTCTCATAAAAAACCTTTTTCTGAAATTAAGCCATTTAATTTAACCTAACCTAATTAGTATTTAAAGATTAAAATTTTGAATAACAATTATTATTATTGTTATTATTATTATTATTATTATTTTGTTATAAATGAATCCTTAAATTCATACTAAGTAGCTACGGAATAGCAATGGTGGTTGGTTGCAACGTTGCGAAGGAACGACATGAAAATATTCCCACGTATTTGTTGGGCACAATCTGTGACCAGTTGGTGAAATGCATTGAAATTATGATAACAATAATAATATATAATTAATCACATATCATAATAATATATCAATAATCACAATAATATACAATCAATCACAATTAATCTACATAAAATCTCATTCGGCAATTTCTATCGAGGGCATTTCAATATTTGGCTGTTTTCAGTGACACATATAATTTTGTTTTAAAATTCTCCCCTTAATGTCGATCGTAAGAGTTAAACTCTGCAGAAAGAGAGCATTTCCCCACCTTGCGCGTGCATGGCAGTGAATGTGGCGCCTTGAGATTGCATGCGATCGCTGTGGTCCAGTGCCAGTGCTTGCGACCTCCGCGCGACCTCCCTCGGCGTTGCTTTGCGCTAGTGGGGATAGTGGCGAGCATAATCGAATTCGCTTTGGACGTTAAATGTTTGCCAATTGCATGTTAACCATTCATGACAATCGAATGACGAGTCGAGAGTCCACGGAGACCCAGGGAAGAACGTACATCGTAATCTCGGATTACCTGTACGCAACCTAATCTCTTGCGAGTGATCATTCGCGTCCACGCATTAATGGTGGTGATTCGGTCTTGCTCGCCACTAACGTCGGGCCGCATGCCAGTGCTCTGGTCCACTCGTGACCGCTTGTAATTTAGGGATGGCAACGGGATACTTTTTCGAAATACCAGTTTGATATGTCAATACATCAATATAATTTAACATATCTTGCGTATGATGTTACCGCACTAATTTATCAGTATTTAAGTAAGTAAATTTTACTGTGTATAAGTAAAGGAACTCTTGCACAGATTAAACATACTGCTTCAATAAAATTTCATATCATTTATACATTTCAATTTGACTTCCTAATTTTTAACTTCAGGGTAAAACTCACCTCTTTTTTATACGTATTACAGACTAAAAAAATTGTATGTTAAAATTGTTTAATTTCTATCTCACTTTTTTTCACATTTGAATTAAAACTGGGACTTACGTCGATATACCCATATTTTTTATTAGTTATTAGATTGTCACAGCAGGCAGATTTGGAATCTTCAGTTTACTTCAGTGTCGATATATCCGTATTTCGAAAATTGTTGCCATCCCTAATTCGAACCAGCCGCTGGTGACCTACGGGACCTGCATGATGTCAATGCTACCAACCGCTGCTCTCTCAGTTCGTTGCATCATCTCATCGCAGTAATTATTTTTATATTCTCGCAATATTACTTACCAGGTTGTTAAACAAAATGCAAGTACCTTCGTGTGGGATAAAACACAAACAAAAGTGAACTTAACCCCTGTAACGAAGTAAGTTAAATTATATAACACTTGTTATTCGAAATCGTTCTTTCTGAGCTACATTAACGGTGGATTGTCCTCATTCGCTTGTCAGACGCAGTAGTTGTTTCTTCTCTTAGATTAGAATTTGGTAGTGTAGATCCGGTATGAGATAATATATAAAAATAAATCTCTTTCATCTTAATTTCAGCTATTCGTAGATTAGCGCATGTTCCGCATTGCCTGCTTAATGTGTCCGGAACTTTTTTTCGAATCAACCATCCGTGTGTAGGTTGTCACAAGGAAACTTAGGCAGATTGGGATTGTCAATTTAGTCAGTTTAAAAAGTTGTTTTTCTTTCCTTGGTAAGTTGTTTCAAACGATAAGACTGACATTTTTTCGGATGCAATGAGAATATTTTTTCGGATCATTATTCTCATTTTTATTGCTCTTAAAGCTTAATTCCGATATAAATAATTTAATATCTGTAGTGTCTTCGGTGTCATTGAATGATAATGATAGAACATATTTAAGCATGAAAATTATTTTTTAAGATTGATCGCCTGGCATGTAAATGGTAATTTTGTTATATTATTTACAACTTCTGAGTTTAAGATATTTTGTATTTTTCTTTATGTGGGATTTACTCGTTAAAGTAGATAATTTAAATAATCGTTTTGGTTACTAATTACATAATGTATACTCAAGAAGGCTAGAATATTTGTCTCTGCGCTACCTGTTCTTTAGATGTTCAATTAAACCGTCTTGAGGATCTTGATTGACGCCGGCATCGAACTATAGATTATAGCTATTATATAGATTATAACTATAGATTCAGAATGGTGTCTGGTGCACGTATATAATAAAAGAGAAAGAGCTGGAAAGGGATGCTTTATATTGACTAAGCTTGTGCATCTAACGCTAATCTTCCACAAACTGTCTTGCAGAGGCAGGCAAAAATTAGCCAATGTAGGCAAAAATTAATGACAATTAGAGGTGCATTCAATTCACAATAATTATTGTTAAAAAGAGTTTCAATTCTTCAGATTCGATAGAATTGACGAGTTAATATTTTTCCTGTGTTTGAAGCGTTTTTCGTCAGCAACTATATCAAAGAATTGAATATAATCCTATCGTATGTAACAACCTGAAGGGTCCTGTTTCACGTCTTGGAATCTTATACAGTGAATTGCTTGCTATACCTTTGAACGGCATCTACTATATCCCTGCGGATGAGAATTTGAGCATTTCGCCAAGCATGTAGTTTGTTTCGTTGATATGATACCAGACCTATTGTATTGAATAAATAGACTTGAAGGGGCTGTTTGTTTGAATGCACGTACGTAGTGAAATAGAGCCGCACTGCTGAGTGTGGCTGTGGCTGCGCCTTGGCTACGCGCGAGGGAGAGGGGCGTGATATGGTAATGCGGTACCATTCTTATTTACAAGAAACGGAGCACATTAAATGAAGATATTTGAAGAGGCCTGATTGGATGAATGCACATTCGTAGCGGAGGGAAGCCCGGTTGCAAGAAGCGAATTTGTTTCTCTTTGGGGTAAGGGACTTGTGGCGTAATATGGCATTGCGATACCGTTCTTATTCATACGAGCCCGTTTATATATAATGAACAGACTTGAAGAGGCCTATTGGATGAATGCATGTTCATCTTGAATAGAACGGGGTGAAGCCGGACAGCAGCAAGAGCTTTAGCTACGCCTTGGGGCGAGGAGTCTGTGGTGTGAGATGGCAATGCGATGCCGTTACAATTGCTGCCAAATCGATTGTTTAAAACAAATAGAATTAAAAGAGATGAATGCACGTATGCAGTGCAATAGTCGCGCTGTAGAGTTTGCTTTCGCTACGCCTTTGGGCGAGGGGGTGTGGCGAGACATGGCTATACGATACCGTTCGTATAGGTACCAGTCCGACCGCATTAAAAGAATAGACTTGAAGGCCTCTTTACTGTTCTTATATATACTGTTTTTATTGATACGAAACCTATCGTATTGAATGAACAGATGTCTGAGTAGATGAATGCACGTCCGTAGCGGAGTAGAATCGGACTGCACCAGGCTGCAACGAGCGCTTTGGATACGCCTTGGGGCGAGGGATGTGTGGCGTGATACGGCAAAGCTATGCTGTTTTTATTGATATGAATTCGATCGTACTGAATGAGTAGACTTGAAAAGGACTGTTGGATGAATGCACGTTCGTAGTAGAGTAGATCGGGCTGCAGGAAGTGCTTTGGCTACTGGCGAGGGGGGCAGCTCGAAGACGAGGCTCGACACTACACGGCTCTACATACCACATATAGGACATCGCACACATACTCAGCACTGTCTGAATCGAGTAGACTTGACAAAGGACTTTTGAATAAATGCACGTTTCGTAGTAAGTAGACGTAGATCGGGGCTGCAGGAAGCTGCTTTGCTACCTGGCGAGGGGGGGCGTGATGACGAGGTGACTAACTTTCTTATTGATAGAATTCGATTCGTACTGAATGAAGTAGACTGAAAAAGAATTTTGAATGAATCGCCACGCTATTGTAGTCAAGAGTAGATGGGCTGCAGGAAGTCGCCTTTGGCTACTGGCGAGGGGGGCCAGTGACAGACCGAGCGTGATACTCGTCTCTATATTGATAGAAATCTCGACTCAGTACCACTAGAATTGCGTAAGACTATCGACACGCGACTTATACTCGCAAATTAGCACGTCTCTCGTAGTCAGAGTAGATCGGGCTGCAGGAAGTGCTTTGGCCAGGGGGCAAGGGGGGCGCGGCGAGCCAGCACGGACGACAGAAGAGCAGCACCCGCAGACGCCACGCAGCATAATCGCTCGAGCACATCAGCCCTCTGCGTCACGGGGCGGCCCGCTCCGCGCACATCAGCACTCGACGCCACGACTGCTGTCGCCAGCGACGCGGCACGGCGCGCGGCCGCCGCGCCCGGCGGTGGCGCCGGGGGCGGCGCGGGGCGGCGGCGGATGGGGTTGGACAGCGCGCGGTGTGCGGCAGCTGCGGCGCATCGTCACCATGAACCCCAATAGACACGAGAGCACGCGCGACCGCCCGGACGCGCGCAGCGCGGCGCGCAGCCGCACTGCCTCGACGCCATCGACTACGCGCACATCAGAGAGCGAGGTCAAGGCCACGCAGAACCTCTCCATCATCGTGCTCTTCTTCATCCTGTGCTGGTTCCCGCTCTACACCATCAACTGCATACAGGTGGGTGTGGTCATAAACTCTATTCGGCAGGTTTCCTTCCACTCTCCCATATTTCCTGACATTGAATTTAAGTGCCGCAATTCTTTGTCCGTTACAATTATTTGGCTCTTTGACTCAACACGTTGTTGGTGATCTGGGCTGTCCGGGTGACGCCGCGTCGAAGGCTGTGTTACCGACGTTTCGACCATCCTGTCGTTGTCTTCCTCAGGGCTGGTCCGGGTGACGCGGTGTCACCCGGACAGCCCAGATCACCCACATGACTCTGGCCGCGGAAGCCTACGACTTCATTAAACACGTTGTTGCTGGAACATCTCTGACCTGGAGGACCTAGGTTTCGAAACCGGACGGTAACGTGATTTCAACGCTAGCAATTTAGCGAGGTCGGATTCTGCCGCTGGCTGGAAGAGAATTCTAGCGGCTCGCTGCTCTGATCGGTTGTTCGGCTGAATTCTCCGATCAATACAGGATAATGCCGGTGCGGTAGCTAACAAATGAACCACGGACCGGGAGCATACACGGGCACAATTTTCACTCACTCTCACACACACACACTATCACAAATGATGGTACACCAACCGACCGCTGGAGCTTGTGTTGGCTGGCACGGTGCCCCGCCAGGGAGAGATACATGAAGTGAGGAAAACCCGGAAACCCGATATGTCGACCGGCGCCGGATATCAGATTCCAACGGGAGAGAAGCATAGTCACCTTCTGCCAACCTCACACACGGGGCTAATAACCAAAGTAGTTGAGACATCCGGAAATATTCAGGAAACTGAAAGATTTTTCTCTAAAAATTCGAAATTCTTGGGATGTTAAAGAGAAACCATGCTAAACAATTTGCGAAAAATTCTGAAAGATTGTGGAAAAAGGCACGTCACAAATGATAACAGGGCCTCTTTCACTTTTTTTGTACATTTTGCTGTTAAGATTACTGCGGAAAAGATTGTCCTTATGTTGAAAGCATCGAACATTTTTAGCTCTCACTCTCATAAATGTATTTCAACACAGTAACCACGAAGATGGTATCGGAGAATTTTAAATAAATTCCATACCACACATTTTCTTTTTTCTTAGTACTGACAAATTTGGGCTATTGTTTCGTGATTACCTGAATAATTCTTTACAGTGTTAAGCATCACTAGTTGTGGTTCATTACAGATTTATTTAACTTTGACGCATCTTAAGTTACTTCGCATTATTGATTCCAGACATTTAACGCTGAAGGGTATCTTCTCTATACATAATAGATTAAGAATAGATTACATTTTTGTCATTTTAAAAGAAACCATCGACACGAAACACTGTAGGTGTGCAGTATTCTACATTTTTTGCGATTTAGTTCTTTGTGTGTTTCCACTCCATAGGTGGTCAAAGTAGTACAGAAACCCAAAACCTATGAAAAATGAAATTCAAGGAAAAAATACAGATCTAATCTTCACTGGAAAATTATAGGGACTGCTTCTCTGCTCAATTTAATCTCAACGCTTAGCAATATTAGAAAGGTCACATTCTCACAGTATCGAGTCTAATGTGCTCTAACGCACAGTTCAGGTGGTTCGAAGTTGAATTAAAAAATGTTGTAATTTCCGTTCTTAAAACAATTATTTACAATGTGCGAAGTTTTTGCATGGGTCCAGCTAGTATAATATAATGCACTAATACATCAGACTACTTCTGTTTATCTAATCATTCATTAAAAAGAGGAAATATTTCAATCGCTCCTCCTAGAAAATCATTACTTACGAGTAATTTCACGGCATTTAATCATACATGATGAGCTTCTTTCATGATAAAAAACGCCATTCACATGAAGTATGCTTTCAATTGTACGCCTCATAAATGAGACGCTTGGAATTAGACAATGGTAAGTCATTGATTAAACTAGTTTGATGTACTTACATTTTTCGTTTCAGTTAGAAGTTGGCAAGCAACTGGCGAAGTAGTGTAATACAATTTGCAGAATATTTTAATGAAATAAATATGAGTTTATGTTGATCACCTTATTTACAGATTTCTTTGAACTTTCAATTTTCTCTCATGTAAAAGTCACTTCACTTTAAATGTGTCTTACCATTATCTACTCCAGAGTGCCATAATTCGTTTTTGTTTGACAAGAAAACTTTTGTGTGAGAGAAATGTGAGAGTGAGATGTAGTTTCATATTGTTAACATTTGTGTGATCGTGTAATCGTTAGCTTTCTATTGTCAAACAAAAAGAAACGTGCAAGATGTCAAGTGCAAGACGAAACAATTGTGATAGAGCCTTATTACGTATTGTTCTTAAGAAGCAGCTTTTGCCTTTACGAACAATAGAAAAAAAACATGCGGCAGAGTGAATTGGATTTATTTCGACGTTTTGGTGACAGAGGAGTGAGCACAAAAGGTAAAAATTGAGAAGTAAAATAAACAAACAATTTTTCTGAATAACTTAATATTAATATGAAGGGAAGTGTGATACAAGGTGTGGAAGAGAAAATGTTAGGGACAAAAGATTCGTTTTCGTTATCTTGTGGCAATTGTAAAATAAAATAAAAATATGTTTAATATGCAGTAGAACCAGAATCGGATAACCCTCCCACACCATTTCCGTTGAGTCATACAGATGGATGCCATAGTGTTGCGCAATGTGAGTCTTGTTTACGTCTTTGCCTTTGCGGAACCGTCAGGCCCCACGAGAGCATCTCATGACCTCGCTCTACCCTCTCCCGCCGCGCCCCTCTCC